CATTTGTTTTGTATCTCAGTAAATCATTCATGCAATTGCCAGGCCTGGAATTCTGAGGAATTCTCCCTCTCCTCACCCAGGGCTGTTCACCAATTCCTGTCAATTCCGCCTCCTAACTATCTATCATTTTAGTTCATTTCTTATTGTCACTTCCTTAGTATAGGCCATCATTTTTTCAGGCTTAGATTATGGTAACAAATTTATAAATTCAAATCTGACCTTGTCACTTGCCTCTTTAAAATCTTTCTTTAGTATCCTACTGCTCTCAATTCCTTGATGTAGTTTACAGTGATCTTGCCCCTGGTTTCTGCTCTAGCCTTCTCTCTCCTATTATTGTCATATAGTCTATGCTCCAGGCATTCTGAACATTTGTCACTTTTCTGCTCTCTCTTGCCTCTTGGCTTTGGTTCATGCTCTTTCTTCTGCCTTGTGTTTTCTACCTCTCCTGTTCAGTTGGCCAACTCCTACTCATCTTTCATGTCTCTGCTTAGACACCGCTTCCTCCAGGAAGTCTTCCCTCATCTCCTTCCTGTATTTTGTACCCTCTTTCCACACTCTCAGATTACTCTGCTTCCTCCATCACAGCTCCAATTACAATGTAGTTTAATTATCAGGTCTTTAGTCCATATCTCTCACTAGGCTGAAATGTTGAGACCATGTCTATCTCATTCACTGTTATTTCTCTGTCACCTGATAGTGCTTGGCATAGGAGGTTACATTCTAAATATTTTTTTGAATGAATATATGAAGAATAACACAAAAATGTCTTTTTTATTTTCTTTCAAACTGCAGCTCTCTTCAGGTAAAATCAGCCATACTTGGTGATATCAACGTGTAATCAGAAATTGAAAGATCCTAAAGCTCTCTCTTGATCTGCATCTCCTGCAAGTCCATCATTGGAACTTGTCATCCCATCACGTGCTCAGTCTGGTGCATGTAGCCTATGGAAAGGGGGAGTGAGCCAAGTGTTTGATGCAAGAGTGTTGAGCCTGAGATGTCAAAAGTTTCCACCCCTTATAGATTTAAGAACCTATAAAGTCACTGGGCTTCTCATCAAAATATTTAGAAATGACATTTGATAAACTATGCTTGCATTGAACAACCAACAAATATTTATTCAGCACCTACTATGTGCTGGACCCTGTTCTGAACATAAGACAAAAATCCTTTGAGGAGCTTTCATTCTTGAGGCTTGCTTGGTCCTCTGATGAACTGAACCTGCTAAACCCCTCACTACTAATCATAGTGTAACATCTGCAGGAAGGACTTTGTTAGACTTGTAGATTTTGGTCAGTGTGTGGATTAGGTTTCTTATAACCTTGGAAATGGAAAATTCTTCCTGTGTCTGGGACACTTGTGTAGCGCAGCTAAACTGATAGAGAATATCTTTCTAGAAAATTTCTGTTATTGGTCTTTTTCCCCTGTTCCTTCAACAACCACTGCTGAATTAGTTTCTGATAGAGAATTCAGAGGTGTTTTCGGTTCCAAGAGACAGAGTACAAGTGGAAAAAGGAAATGTGGCTGGAAAATGGAAAGTTAATAACCTAAGCAGCCCAGGTGTAGCTGTATGAGACAGAATGGCAGACAGCCGAATATGACTTGAGATTCTGCCTCAAAGAAGGCAAAGAACAAAGCTGCAGTCTGTCTTTCAAACAAACCTCATCATGGAGAGCAATGGGAACTCTCATACACTGCAGGAGGGACTGTAGAGCAGTAAGTCACTTTGATAATAATTTGGCATTATCTTCTAAAGTTGAATAAATGCATACCCCATGACCCAGAAATCCCCTTCTAGGTTCACGCCCTACAAGAATGCAGACACATGTGCTCTCGGACACAGGTTCAAGAGTGTTCATGGCAGCATTATTCAAAATAGCCTCAAACTGAAAACAATCCAAATGCTTATCAACAGCAGAAAGAACAAATTCTGGCATATTAATACAAACACTATTCAGCAATGAAAATGAACAAAGTACAACTAATAGCACTTAGATCAATCTAAAACATAAAGTTGAGCAAATGAAAGCTCAGGATATGAAAAAATACAGACTGTATGATTTTATTTCTATAAATTCCCCCCAAAGGCAGACTAATCAACTGTGTTTAGGAATGCGTGGTTAGGTGGCAAAAATACAAAGAAAAACAAGGAAGCCATTAGCATAAAAGTCCAGATGGTAGTTACCTTCAGTGAAGAGAGAGAAAGTTGGGATAAGGAGGGACACAAGGGCAGCCATATTCTATTTCTTGACCTGGGTGGTGCTTAAAAGGTGTTCATTTTGTGTCATTAATTAAGCTATACATGTAAAACTTTGTTACTTTCGTGTATATATATATATATATATTCTCGCCTCCCCCAATAAACAAGGTTAAAAAGCCAGCCTTGCCATGATTCAGAGGCAATCAAGCTTAGTGGTAAAGAGTGTGAGCCTTGGAGTTAATTTGCTTTGGAGTCAAATGTGCCTGTGCTGCTCATCAGCTCTGTGACTTAGAGCACTCTGACCTGGCTAAGCCTCAGTTTCCTTCTCTATAAAATGGGAATAACAATAATATCCATCTCATAAGCTTCTTATAAGAGTTAAATGAGATTATTTATATAGTACTTAGCCCACTGCCTGATATTTGGTTAAGCACTCAATAAATGGTAGCTATACCTAAAAGGTAACAATTCAATGCCAAAAAATTTGTTGCTTTGCCTATGTAATTTACCAGGCCTGGTGGATTTCTCTTCAGAGCAAGACAGGGAGTATATCTAGAAAAGGAGGCAAGGAAAAGAACTCTCTGAACGTGATCTTGTCTTGGACAATCATGCTAACCACTCTGGGGAGCTTCTTGGATGTATTAGAAATAGACTCCCTTGGGATATGTCCGCTGTTGGGGAGTGAATGTTAATGTATGTCTTTAATCAAGAGGTATCTGTTCAAGTGGGACCCATACGAGTTGGGGATTTTTTAAAATCTGGTTCATAACACTTAACGCCATACAAAAATATGAAGTGTATATAAGAAAACTATGGAAAGAGCATCATGGAAGATGAAATGATTAATAAACTCAAAGAAATAGACCCCTTTGAGAGCCTGATGAATGTTATGGACTCTTGTCCTAGAAAAATGTACATAGGTAATGATGCACAAACTTTGCAGTCAATTCCAGGGGGTTCACAGTCTCCCTGAAGCCCTTCTGTAATCTCTCTGGATTCTTCATGCCTTCTAAATATAGGGTTCTCTAGAGGGAGAGCAACAAGGAGCCAGGAGGACATAGTAGCAGCACAGCACAGCATGGAAGGCTCAGGGTAGGGAGTGGCTTTTGATAACATCAGGGTTTCCCAGAACTATGTCTGACAGAACATGGGAAATCTTAATGAATACATTCTTAAATATATATGAAAATACTAAACATATTTGTATAGTTTTTTATAGTGTCATGTGGCAATGTGTCTTAAAGAAATCGTGTATCATACCTGATACATTGCATGACAACATGACACATAGAAGCATGGTATTGAAATGCACATTATTCGCAGCATTTACTAAATATTCTTATGTTGATGGATATGGCTTCTTTGATGATGGCTAGTTCATCTACTCTGTCATAATATCAATATAAGTTGGTGATGTTAACTGGTATTAGTTGCATATTCATTATGACGCCATACAAACTTATTCTCTATGGTTCTGTGGCTGAAAGAATGAACTCATCTGGGAGGTCACTTTCTGCAGTCTACTTTATTTGCAGCAACCAAGATATCTCATGAGTGCCTGTTGATGTTCTTCAATACATCAATTCTGACCCCCTCTGAAATGTTGGGTGGGATGGATGCTGTGATACACCAGCCAGATACCCCTTCAGGAATGAAGGGCTTATGCTCAGCCGTTGGGAGAACTCTGACGGGCTGTCTCAGCTCCAGAGCTTCTCTTGGGGCTGGCTGAGTGCATTGTCAAGCCTGCATCACAGCTTAACTTTCCCCTCTGTTGACTCCTGCTTCCTTCCCCTCTTGTCCATAGGAGTTGATTCCAAGAGCACTTCCTAATAAAAGCCATGCTTGCTAACCACCTCAGAGTCTGTCTCCCTGAGAACATACCCTGAGACACTGAGTTAGACAGTTAAGTGCTCAGGGAGCCTCTAGTGATCTCAAGCAACCCAGTTTTTAGGAGATAGTTTCTAAAATGACCCCTGCAGGGCAGCCATGATTCCTGGTCCCATAAGGCATGCCTCCTCCAACCCCTTTTCTCAGCCCAACTCTTCTAGACACCAGGCTGTGGGCAGCAATACTAATTCCAGACTCCACCTACTGGTAGAGATGAGGCCCGTAGGATACTGCCTGGCTTGGGTGGGATCTACCCAGGAACTGTTCAGGCCAAGTGGGGATGATCAGTCGTCACGGGTGTTTGGGCTGGGAACACAGAGAATGAAAATGAAATTCGGTTCTTTGGTTGGTCCAAGGCAGTGTTTCTCAATTTTTTTATTCATTCTTGGCCCTTTAAGGGGCCTTTTTAGATATTTTTTTCCTGATTGCCCTCCATGACTTTTTTTTAAGGAGGGAAGGGTTTTTTTTTAAACAACTTTATTAAGATATAATTTACATATCATATGTTTCACCCATTTAAAGTGTACAAATCAATGGCTTTTAGTGTATGCACAGAGTTGTGCAACCATCACCACAATCAATTTTAGAATATTTTCATCAACCCCTAAATAAACCCTGTACCTATTAATTATCACCTTCAGTCCCCCACCCCAATTTCCCCCATCCCTAGACAATTACTAATCTACTTTCTATTTCTATAGATCTGCCTTTCTGGACATTTCATATAAAAGGAATCGTAATATGGGGTCCCTCTGAAATTTAATAGGACAGAAATACTGTATATTTATGAACTGCATGTATATCTGTGCTTGATGCAAAAAGAGAGTAAGATTTTTTTTATACCCTCTGCAAGAACCAGTTTGCATTGCCCCCACTGAGAATGCATGATCCAATGTGACACTTGGTTTCTCTACAGAATTGTCCTAACCAGCTGCAGATACCAAAAGTGTGAGTCATTTGTTGACAATACACGATTATCAAAATGAAGTCTTTGTGTAATTGGTTTTAATTACTACCACCACCCCCAGAAACTGGCTACAAGTGAACTTGTCATGAGCTTAAATAGAAGTGAATGCAGTTTTCTTGACTAAGCCCAAATACGACTTTATAAATGGAAAAAACGGATCCTAAGAAGTAGCAATCCGGACTCTGTCTTTTACCTGCATCTGCCTTTGAATGGACCTACTGAAGAGCTTCCGGTGTCCTGCCTGCTTTCCCAGCAGAGCACCTGGAGATGTTACCAGGGGGATCAGATCTGGTAGTCAAAACTCTGCCAGACTCTGGAAACAGTCTGGGATAACATAAAGTTGAAAGAAAAAGATGATAGTACTTTAAGTCCTTTAAATCCCTTTGAAATAAATGTAATCTGAGGTTTTAAAAATATTCCTATTCCTTATTTGAATAAGTGTCAAAATACCAGTGGATCTCCCTTTTGTAGATGATTTTCCACTCAGTAGCTGTGTGCTTCCCCTATGCTTATATGTTTTCTTCCTCTTAACTACTGGAAATTTCTGCTGGGCCGAGAGTATCATGAAGAAATCAACCCTGTCTCTTGTGTACCTTGGATTATTATAAACTTGACTATGAAAATCATCTCAGAAGTCCTTATTTACAAGATTATTAATTGGTTCAGACATACCAGGACAGTTGGCTCTATTCTGACAAGTTGGGGATGGTTCTTTACAAATGACTTTTTCAAAGATTGATAATTAGGGAAGAAAACGTGGTCTGGGGCTTAGATTATTTGCCAGGAGTCTGGATTTCCATTTCCAAGTGAATCAACACATAAAGAAGAAACATTCGTTTCTTCCTCTTACACTGTGGTTTGCAAGCCTAGCTGTACATTGGAATAAGCTGGTAAACTTTAAAAATGCTGATGCCTGGGCCCCATCCCCAGAGATGCTGATTTAATTGGTTGGGGTTGTAGCCTGGGCATCAGAATTTTTAACCTACTTAAATGAAAATTTCTGGGGTTGGGTCCCAGGCATCCGTACTTTTTAAAGCTCTCCAGGTGATTCCAGCATGAAACCAGAGCTCAGAACCACTGCCTAAAGCCTAGCTTCTCTTTGAGCACGTAAGTCAAAATCCACTCGACAGGGTAGGTACTCAAATTTTTACTCATTGATGGATGAATCATGTAGACTTAGAAAGCCTGGGTTTTACTTCTACTTCTGCTACTAACTACCTATGCTAGTCACTTCCCTCTCGTGAGTGAGGAAAATGGGCCTCATGACATCTAAGGCTTTTTCCTGTTCCAACTTCCTGTGGTTAATACTAATTGTTTCTTTCTATTTTAAAGCTACAAAGGGCCCTTGAAACTTTTGTAGGATTTGGTGTATCAGGTAAATAAAATGGAATAATAGTGCCACTGTTCTTCTTTGGCCAGTTAATTTTCACTGAACAACTCTAGTACTTTATCAACTAATTACTAGGTGCTAGACATTGAACAAAACTAATATCATTTCTTTCCTCATGGAACTTAGAGACTGTTGGAGAGAACACAGGGGGATAAAAGTGAACAAACAAATGAAAATATTTACAATCAGTAATAGGCTCCATAAAACAAAAACAAACAGGGCCGGCCCTGGGGCTTAGCGGTTAAGTGCGCGCGCTCCGCTGCTGGCGGCCCGGTTTCGGATCCTGGGCGCGCACCGACGCACCGCTTCTCCGGCCATGCTGAGGCCGCGTCCCACATACAGCAACTAGAAGGATGTGCAACTATGACATACAACTATCTACTGGGGCTTTGGGGGAAAAAAAAAAGAGAGGAGGATTAGCATGGATGTTAGCTCAGGGCTGATCTTCCTCACACACACACACACCAAAAAACCCAGTGGGAGCCCATACAGTAGATAATTAAAGGTGGAGGGAAGCTGCCCTTACATGGAGTGAGCATGGAGGTTATAGTTAAGCAGAGACCTGATAGGAGGTGTTAATTTACTCGATATTCAACAAATATCTATTGAGCTCTTCCTATGGGCCAGGGACTACTGTTGGTGTTAGAAATAGAGCAGAGATAAAAAAAAAAAAGAAGTGCTTGGCTCAAAGAGCTTGCATTCTAGAAGTGGAAAGGAAGCAGAGGTGGTCTGGAGTCTGTGTGTGTATGGGAGTGGTGGGTGGAATGGGGGTGCATCTCAGGCCAAGGAATAGCTGGTGGGAAGATCCTGCAGAGGTCAGCTGAGTATTTCATGAACTAAAAGCAGGCCAGTATAGCTGGAGCATAGTGAGAGTGGTGAGACTTGGTTGGACAGATGGACTGGAGCTAGATCATAAGAGGTTTTCCAGGCCATGAAAATGAGTTAAGAAGGTTAAATATTCCATATTCAGTTTATGGAAATCACCTAGCAAGAATTTAAATTGAGTCTACTGAATCTAGGTTTAAAACTACTGTGCAGGGTTAGTAGCTTAGCTGATGATTGAGCCCCACTTCCATACCTTAATGAGCCATATTCTTGAATCTGGAAATGCAAGAACTTCTGCACTGGCTGTATACTGTTTACCCACAAGGCTGCTATAATACCATTAGTTGGTGGGGTCATGGCAGTAACGAGTATGTGTGCATCCCTGGGATGGGGGATGGGACTATAGCCTGTCTGAATCCTTAAAGGTCAAAGATCCATGACCCATAAAAAAAAGTCTTATCAAAGGATTTGGGCCAATAGAGATCTACAGTAGCACCAAGAAACATATTTGGTCATTTATTCATTTGTTAATTTCACAAGGGACATTTATCGAAAGCCTACAACCACAGGAGTTTCCCCAAAGAAGACAGACAGACAATTTGACTATTACGACATAATGTGATAAGTGTTGTGTCAGAGATGTGCTCTGGATGCTATGGGAGCATATAAGAGAGCTACCTAACTCACTGTGGTTGCCTCAACTAAGTTTTGAAGGACTTCTAGGAGGTGGCTGGGTAAAGGAGGGGAAGGATATTCTAGGTAGAGAGAACTCCATGGGCAGAGAGATCAAGATGAGAGAGATTAAAATGCATTGCTAGGGACAAAAGGTAGAGAGATGAGGTTGGAGAGGAAAATAGAGGCCAGGTCATGAAGGGCGTTGTAATCCATGCCAAGGAGTTTGGACTTCATCCTGAGGACAATGGGAAACCATTCCATAATTTTAAGCAAGGGAATGACCTACTATAACTTCAATAATGAATTATAATAGCTAACATTTATTGATTTCTTTTTGTGTGCCAGGCACTCTTGAGGACTGTCACATACAATGACTCACTTAATCTTTTCTAGAATCCTTTGAGTTAAGAACTATTACTAGCACCATTTTGTAAATGAGGAAGCTGAGACACAGTAATGCAGGAATTTTTCCCAAGGTGGCTCAACTCGTAAGCGGCTGAACTAGAATCCAAAACCAGACTGTTGGTTCTACAGAAAAGCACTTAACTACCATGCTACCTACCTAATTCCTTGTCACCCAAGTGTGGTTCCTGGACCAGCAGCAGCAGCATTACTTGGGAGCAAATCTTGGGCTTCACCCTAGACCTACTGAATCGGAATCCAAATTTTAACAAGATTCCCCTAGGTGATTTGCGTGCACATTAATGAGTGAGAAGCACCGGGCTAACCCACGTGAGGGAACTGAGTCAAAAGTGATGAACTGGAAGCCAAATACCCCATCTAAAGAGGAATACTGTTTTAGCTCAGGTTGATTGGTGAGTGTCAAAATGTAAAGAGCACCCCCACACCTACTGCAAGTGCGTTTTTCATGTTTTGACGACAGGCAAAGGATAAAGATTTTTAAAAAAACATTGAGTTGGGCATCACTGTGTTGGCTAACAAAAGATGTTTGCAAGTAGAATTTGGCCTAGCAGCTGCCAGTGTGAAATTTCTGGCTCACATTTTAGAGATTTAGGAGGCAGAGAGAAGCTTCTCTTCCCTTGGGTCATTTTTAGTTGCTTTTTTTTGTCATTTAAGATGACAAATACTTGAGAGTAATGATTAGGGAATAGGTCTAGAAGCAAGGGGACCAGGAAGCTGCTCTTCCTGTGTTTTGTCTAGAGTTTTGAGAACTGCGTATTCTAGGTGCCTCTTTTGTGGTCCATTCAAGTTCTCCAGGATAATACATTGGGGTTGGGGGCCAAAGGCATAGTCGGTAATAAAAAGCAATTATTTTCTTGGTGTGTCTGGGACCTTATGCTGACAGCAGAAGACAACTGGTCAAGAATATGGGGGGTCAGGGTCTTTGCCATCTGTCCTTGTCTTTTCAGAGAGTAATCAATATGCATATGGGTCTGGGAACCATTTTTCCAAGATATCATTGGAATAACTATAAAGTGTTATATCCTTATAATGTATAACATAAAAATAGGTGTCTTTAGTGAGGCTGCTCTATTCTCTAACTGCCAAGAAACCCAAAGCAAGAAGTATAGATTTTCTTTTGCAGACTTGTTAGGGAGCCACAAGAAGTTTTACGTGCCAGAATGTATATATATCATATTTTAGAAATATCACTCTGATGGGAATGTGAAGAACGAACTGGAAAAGGTAGAGACTGAAGATCAATAAGGAGGCATTTTAATGGTCCAAAAGAGAGATGATGAGGTCATGAACAAAGTCATTTTCAGGACCACAGAGAGGAAAGAAGAATTCTCTTTGCTTCAGATGTTGCCCAGGTGCATAAGACTCTAGTCCACGGCTTTCCCCTGACCTCTAGCTCTTATTCCAGTTGCCTCTGGATCTCACTATTTATGTGTTCTATAGTCATCTCAAGCTTCATGTGTTCAAAACCCTCCTTTCCTCCTTTATGTCCTATCTAAGTGAATGATGTTCACCCATTTACCCAAGCCAAACAACTGAGAGTCACCCTGGGCTTTCCCACTCCCACATCCATTCAGTCAAAGTCCTTTAAATTCTACTTTCTTGATGCCCATCATATCCATTCCTTCCTCTTCATTCCACTGCTGTTTCCCCTATTCAGGCCCATATTCTTTTTCACTTTAAACTATAGGCAGTAGCTGGGCTGGCCTGGTGGCACAGTGGTTAAGTTTGCGCATTCTGCTTTGGCGGCCCGGGGTTCACCAGTTTGGATCCTGGGCCCAGAGCTACTCACCACTCATCAAGCCATGCTGAGGCAGTGTCCCACATAGAAGAACTAGAAGGCCCTACAGCTAGGATATACAACTATGTACTGGGGCTTTGGGGAGAAAAAAGAAAAAAAAAGAGGAAGATTGGTAACA